CTGCCCATGCACCTCTCTATGTCTTTCTCATCCTCAATGCTGCCATATTGGTCACTCACATTTGGTACATTGCCCTTCTCTTCACCCAAATCAGTATTTATCTCTATCTATCTAACAGCGTTCCCTCCCCTCCCCTCACATGAAAGCTCTTAGAATAGCACCTGGCAGTGTTAAGGAGGAGCTCATTCTCCTTGCTGGGGAGTGGAGGGTGTTGAGTCATGCCAGGCACAGTTCCTTCCATGGTCTCTCCAGGAGCCCTACGAGCTCTTTCAGGAAGCCCTGGGCTATCTCTAACTCAAACCTAGGAACTGTATCAGAATAAAGTTTCTTGAGTCAGAAGAACAAGAAGTTCTTATATTTTGTACTTCTACCCAAAGCTTACACTTCACTGAACCCCCTTGCATTTTCCCTGCCTTATGCTGCAGGGGGTGAGGTTAGCCATCTCAAACTCACCACCCCACCCTGCCCCATTCCCCATCTTCTTCCTACTTGTAATAGAACCCTGGATGTGACATGCTTTAAATATTAGCATGACCTATCAAACTACTTGGCAGGTGCCTTTCTAGTTTCTGGAATGGTTTCCACCAAGCTACCACCTTCTGAGCCAGGCCTATCTACGACCAAACCCTAATCCTAAATGCCTAGTAGGATGTCAGAGCTTGATCTTATTACCATTTAGCAATTAATCCCTAACTTAGTCAAACCTTCTAACAGACCTTTGACCCTTGAGAGAAAATGTTGACTTAATATTCTTTGCATGTTAGCATGGTCTACAGCTTGGTGTCACCATGACTTATTTAAAAGCAACAAGAAGGGAGTAAAAAAAGGATATGGAGAAAAATGGAGAAAGAAAGAAGAATGGAGGGCAGAGGACTAGTGTGTGTATGTAAGCAGGAAGGGCTGTCAAAGAGCACACGCCATTGGGTTTGGACACACGGCAGGATGTGCCCACGCAGGGTTACCTGCTGCTGCAGCCGTCTTATCACTAAGGAGCTTGGTCTGGCTGCCTGGGACGATCTGGAGGTCTCCACTCTCAGGGGACTGCGGCAAATTCTGAGCTCGGGTAGCTAGGAGTGCATTGAGGTACTGCAGTCGTGTAACCTGGAGGAAAGAAAGCATTACCAGGACAGGTGCAATATGTGAAGAGAAAGAAAGAAGGTAAAAGAGGTCACACTGTTCCCTCCTGCCCACAAGCACCTGAATTAAACTGGAGAGTTACAATGTGGTAAGAGAAAAAAGAAAGAACTTTAAGATAGTTAAGGACAGACAACAGCAATTGTGCAAACTGATTTTAAGATGTCCCATGGGAACCAGGTGGGTAGGCCTGGAGTCAAGACCCAATCACCAGTGGTCAAGTGGGCCTCAGAGGAACCACAGCCATCCTCAGAGCAAGTGTAAGGCCTTGCTCTTGCAAGTCTTGGTAGAATCAACAGAGTTTATCTAAATCCATACAAACGTGTGACCAGCTGGTCTAGCCCCTTAGGGACATAAAGCTGGTTAAAAGCCAGCATCAGCGAGCTGCCCAGGCGGTCACCTTAATGAACTGCAGGTCAGAGAGAGCCCTCACGGTGTAGTCAGGACAATACGTGGAAGAGCGGGTGCCGTCTGCTGGCTCAGGCTGCAGGTCATGGCGGATGGGCTGGAGCGAGGACACTGGGGACTGGTGAACTATTGAAAGGAACAGTCAGTAATGGCAGAAGCCAGTGCTGGGGGCTGAGAAGGACCGGGGTGGGAGGTATTACATAGCCTCTATAATCTACCCCACAAATCAGTCTTGACAGGGAATATGGCTCAGACTCTGATAGGATGGTGAGCACACTTCCTCCAGGGAACAGCTGTGCAGGGATGGGAGTAAGCAACAGGATGAGCCCTGAAGAAATGCTGCCCCCTCCTTCTACACAACCTGGAGACAAGAAAAGCCAACAGGTCCCAAAGCATATGGCTGCTAGCCACAAGCCATCTTGTAGGAAAGGAGTAGGCTCCGTTAGAAGGGAAGGCTAGAATCTTGGGCACAGAGATCCACAGCAACAACCAGAGTGGGGTGTGATGGTCTCTGCAAGCTGATGAATCCCAGCCCAGTGCCCATGACCCCAGCTGTCGGTTCCAGGGGGGACTACTGCTCACCCGAGGATGGTGCTGCCAGCGCCGACACTCCATAGTAGGTGAAGGCCCCATTCTCGAACTTCAGGCCCTCTTTCCCGATCTCCACCTCAACCCTGCCCTGGGAGGAAGGGAAAAAGGAACGGGGTGCGAAAGGAAGAGAAAAGGAGGGAGAAGGGGTGGAGAGAGAGAGAGACCAGGTATGGCTAGTTTATCTTTCTTGTCAGAAGAGAGTACAAGGAGAAACCATAAACCCCAATTATTAAGGAAAAGGGGACCTCCCTGTTCACATCTCTTCTCAGACCCTTTCCTATTTTATGGGCAAATGAGAGAATCTAGCCTAGCATCCCAGTTACCTGTAGGATGAGAATGAAGTAATCAACTGGCTGGCTGCGCTGGTACAGGTAATGGTCTGCAGCCAGGCGGTTGGTCTCATCAAACCTCACTTCCTGGTTGACACTGGGGTGCTTCAGCAGGTGCAGCAGGACCTTCTCGGAGATTCGCAGGGGGCTGAATACATCTACCTCTGCCCCGTGGAAGAGAAAAGGAACAGTGGCCACAAGGACCAGGACCAGACCCCTGTTGCCTGCCTCCGCTATCCCAAGCTGGGCCGTGCTACCTCCAAAGCACAAGGCAGGGCACCCAGACCCACCCAGCTGAATGCTCTCCGGCCTTTGCTTGCCAGAGGTCACATTAGTATGGCCAGCCCTTAACCCCACAGCAGAGAAGAGGCAGCCCTTGACCAAGCTCAAGCTTGGAAGTTCTCCTGAGGACACTCTGCTCACCAGGCCTAGGGAACAGGTCTCTTGATTGACCCACCTGACAGTGAGCAAAGACCACCTTTCACCCTCACCTCGGGAAAGGAAGCGTTGGGTGGCCAAGAGCAGCTGAGGTGAGATTTTTACTTTATATTCATCGTCAGACACCCTGAACAGGGAGAATTCCTCTTTCCGCTTGAGAGGGGCACTCAGAGAAGCAGGCTTCCTCCTCACCTTGGTGTCTCCTGAGGTAGAAAGAAAAAGGGGTGCTTAGGCATCAGCAACCTATCCAGTCAATGTGATCAAACCAAGGAACCATGCATGCGGTCTGGCTCCTTTCTCCCAAAGTCTGAGGAGCTCAGTGGTAGGAATGAAGGGGAAGGGGAGGAGACAGCATCAGAGCCCTGGGGGCACATCCTGGGCACTGCTTTCTCTATGATGCCTGGCTACCATTCCCATCACACAAGCAGCTTGGGACCTAGGATCCGGCAGCCACATTCCAAGTAAGTCCTGGGGAAAGAATGTTCCTTATCTCAGAAGCAGTTGGGAATGATGCTGATGTAACAGAAAAGCAGTTTCTATAAAATATCCTTGGTAATTAAGAGACCTTTTTCTGGAAAATGTGTATTTGAGAATTAACAGTGCTCAAGAGTAGCAGCTAACAGCTAAACTGGTGACCTGGTGCCTAGGACAGTCCAAAGGACCAAACTGAAGAGACTACATTTTGGGGAAGATGTTGGGGTCAAAGTGACACGCTTGAAGGCATACAAGGGTGAGCAATCAGTGTCCCAACTGCCATTGGAGGCACCAGCCATCAAGCATGGGTTCTGCGTCTGTCATGCAGATCTCCGCCATTATCCTGAGACAGAGGCCTACGATCATCTGCTCTGGGAAGACTCCCTTTGTAGTGAAGAATGGGGTTTCTTTGGGGAGACACGTTCACCATGTATAAGAGAAACTGAGAAAGCAAACATACCAAAGAAGACAGAAGAAAGAGAAAGGCCTGGTTAAAGGCAGAAAACCCTTTCCTTCATTCATTGAGGAAACAAATAGTACAGTTGCTAACAGAGGCCCAAGCAAGAACTGGGGTTGCAAAGCCATGGATAAAACAGGTTTCCACAGTTGTGTACTGAGATGCAAGCATGTTTCCTTCTGGAGAGTGACAGGGAGAATAAGGCCTGGCCAGGTAACACTACTGACAGGAGACCCAGCCTGTTTTCCAGCAAACACGACCCACTGCCAAGAGAAATGGAGACCCACTGACCTCTATCCCCTGAAAGATCATCTGAGACAGAAAACTGCTGGGAGTCGAAACTCACGGTAGTCTTCAGACTCATCCAGAATCTCAGACTTGATGATCTCCTCAATGACGTCCTCCAGGGTGACCAGGCCTAGGACCTCATAGAAGGGGTCACCCTCACCCTCGTTGTTCACCTTCTGCACGATGGCCAGGTGGGACTTCCCTGTGGGGAGGAGACTCTCATGTTAATGAGCTGTGTCACATGAGCCTACGCTCTGAGAGACAAGGACCTTCCCCAGAACAGAGACAGAAAGCCTTCCCCTAAACCGGCATCCTGAATTCGGACTGCTAGCCTCCTGAATTGTGAGGAAAAAATGTAATTTCTGTTAAAACCACCCACTTACATTTCTGCTACAGCAGCACTAGATGACTAAAACACATACTTTGAGTTTAATTACAATATAGGAATTAAGTAGAGAAATACTCTTCGGCAGGGTCTATTCAGTATGCTCTGCCTTATTCTTTTAACCTAGTGTCCTTTCTGAGACAGTCAGGCATAGGAAGACCTTTGTGCCAAAGATGTACAGAAAAATGTGAAGAGTCAAAGAAAACCCATGACTATGATTATTTGACTTTGAGGATGGTGCAGGACTGGGCAGTGTTTTCTTCTGTTGTACATATGGTCGCTATAAGCCAGAACCAACTTGACAGTACCTAACAACAACATCATTTGAGCACTAACTCAATGACCAGGAAAGGAATGAGGCTGCAAAAAAAAAAAAACCAGATTAGACATTTGCTGTATTTCAACAAATCTAAGGTGCCATCAACTGTGGGACACAGCCTGACATCAAAGATAGTAAAATGTGAAAAAAAATACGCTGCTCAGAAGTGATAAAATGTAGTGCTTTATTCATTTACTAACTTAGTGAATTGTCACAATTCTATGAGGCATGTAATATTATTTCCTATTTTGCACTTGAGGCCCAGAGAGGTTAAGTAACCTGACCAAGTGTAAAATGAACCCAGGAGTTGGCTCCTGAGTCCATTCTCTTAACTACCATGCCCAACTGACTCTCACTGAGAAGAACCAATGGACTGGAGTCTTACCAGATCCTTCCCCTCTGGGAGACTGCAGTGTAGTAAATTACTTAGTATGGCTTTTCTACCCATAAGTCTTTGTAAACTCCAAGGTGGGATTTGCTATGAGCAACTGAGGAGGCTCCTGATTGCTAAAGTTGTCCACCTGCAGTATTTCTGTTGGGAGTGGTACAAAACAATGTTCTGGGAGGGTCCCACTCTCTCTCAGGTGCTTAGAGTTCTGATGCTATGACTGGCTAGTTTGACCACTCTGTCAGCCTCAAAAGGAGGCCTCCTAGAGGCAGAACTCTCTCTGACTGCTGGTTGAGGAAGACGTGCTGCTGAAAGAGACACACACTCCTAAAACAGACACATGCGTTGCTGAGTAAGACACCAAGGGACATGCACTGCTGGGGGAGAGACTTGGCTGAGAGATGGTGGGCTGGGAGAGAGACTGAGCATTTTTCCTGAACTTGAGTTGTAGCCTGGTGCTTCCCTAATAAACTCCGTAATCTGTGAATTCTGTGTGGCCACTGCAGCCAATTATCAAACCCAGGAGAGAGGTGGTGGGTGCTTTGGGAGGAATGGCTGGAGAAAGGGCTAGAGGCAGGCAGCACATCTGGCCTGGCAGGAATAGGCCTTGGGCTATTGATGGTGATTCTGTCTTCCTCTTGTGGGATTAGAGGAGGTCAGAACATGTGGCCTCCTTGCCCTTTTTGCAGGGACTTACAGAGTACTGAAGTACTCTCTCAAGCACAGGGCCCTGTCTAAAGAAAATAAAGCATCCTCCCTCATGACAAGAATGAAAGGTAGAAATTGCTATATTAAGTTGTCTTTCTCAATTTCCAGGAGGAAAAGGCCTGGGTCTCTGGAGAACTGCCCATCCAGACCTACTGAGCCAGAGCCCTGGATGAGAAGCACAGCATTTCCAGATGCTTTCCGCCCAAGAGTCTGTCCTGTTTTGGCTCATGCTGGGTGCAGATGCCATCTCTATAAGGGCCATGGTGGCCCTGCCACATGATACAAGGCCAGATCAGGAAGGCCAAGGGCTTAAACCACAGTCTTGGTCTATAGTCTCTTAGGTGTCCATGCACCAAAGCCCAGGTTCTAAATGGCTGTCTCAGAGCAGAGAGGACCTACCTCAGCTCCCTCCTTTCAGGAGGCCAATCCCTTTGGCATGTTACTTATAGGAAGGAACGGACTTCTCTCCCTTGATTTCAAACTTTTATGAGACAGGTAGAAGTTTATTGGTGACCTACCATACTGAGATGATTTAATAAAGAACGGAAATGGAACCCTAAGAAGACTTCCGAAACCACTTGTCCTTGTTGTATGCCACCGAGTCAATTCCAACTCATAGCAACCCCTATGGGCAGAGCACAACCAGGGTTTTCTAGGCCATAATCCTAATGGAAGATCGTCAGGTCTTTTCTCTCACAAAGCCACTGGCAAGTTCAAACTGCTGACCTCTTGGTTACTAGCTAGCGCATAACCATTGTGCCACCAGGACTCCTTCCTAAAACAGTGGTGGTATTATATCTTCTCAAGACAGAATGTGTGAGTGGTCAGAAGGCACTGAAATATGGAGGCCCCTGGCTGTACCCATCAGGCATCAATGTGCTCTCACTAAGCAAGCTTTATGGCGTCATAAAGATGCAAGTAGCACATCAGGCCAACATCAACCCAAAAGCTTTGGGAATGTTCTACAGAGTGTTTAGTCAGCATGCTCAAGGGTACTCATCAATTTTTTGGACACGGGCAGACCCTTCCACAATGCCCAGTTTCTGCAATAGTCTTAATAATGCAGTTGGAATTTAATTTCCTTCCCTTTCCCCTTTCTGTTTTTTAAGGCAAATGTCTGAATATGTCCTATGAGAAAAGTGATATGCAAACATTCCACACAACTGTCTGAGTAGGTCTCTTTTCAGCCTTGTGGCAATCCTTTAGCTTTTGATAAACAATAAAGACTTTGAAAAGCTTACCTACTCAAATCTCTCCTTTGGCTGAACTTCCTAGAATACTCCTATGTGTGACTGACAATGACAGGGGTTAATGGCTTTATAGAAAATACATGCTACTTACTACAGCTCCAAAGTACTCATTCTTCCTGGTGATGTATGCACAAAAAAAATCAGAGTGCCATCTAAAGTCTACACACTGACTAACTCAGAGGGCATCTGATGAGGTACCACAGACTACAAAGTCCCTGACCAGGCAGTGCTCTGAAGGAACGAAAGGAAAAGGACCTGCAATGGCAGCTGAAAATATGTCAGGGACTCCAGCGCCAAGAGATGCAGTAAGCCACCACCTCATACACTTGGCAGAGCACTGCACGGAGAAAAGATTCTTAAAACCTCACCATGAAGCTGCAATATGTCCTTTGTTCATAAGCAGAGGAATGAAGAAGCAGGCCAAAAATAAAAGATCTTTAAAACAGAAAAAAAAAAAAAGATCTATCACAAGACTACAGTGAACAAAAGCAGCAGAAAAGCTCCTGGATGTCACAGAAAGGCATGGGCCACTGTCCTCCACCCTCATTCATCACCAGAGGAAGTGGAGGGGGACTGAAGAGCTCCCCACCACTCTCCAGGTTCCAAAAATCTCCTCTGCACTTGCTTAACTTCACCCACTGGCTTCCAGTAGGAAGCTTTTCAGCATGTTGTTAGTAGGTAGCTTCTGGGACAGTCTGACTAAAGCAAAAGAGGACTCAATCTCAAATCCTATGGCACCAGGCTGCAGGAAACCTGCGTGGTCGGGAGGGTTCTCCAGAGCCACTCCTAGGCCACCCGCCCCAGAACAGGACCTACTATGGCTTTCCCCCTCTATTGGCTCCTTTATGTCAACGTTTAAACCTGCTCAACTCGACCACCTTAAAACAAAAAAGAAATACAACACCTCCTTCCCTGACTATACGTCTTTTCCCAATTCCTGTGCTCCAAATTATTCCCCTAAAACTAAGGAAGTCTGGTAACCTGGATTCTACACTTCCAAGTTCATCCTCTTGTTCATGAGTTAAAAACCCAAAACTCATTGCCCTTGAGTACATTCCAACTCATAGCAATCCCACAGAACTGCTCCATAGGGTTTCCAAGGCTATAATTTTTACAGAAGCGGACTCCCTCATCTTTCTCCTGCAGAAAACTGCTCATGGGTTTCCATGCAACCAGAACTCCTGTTCATGAATTAGCAACCTCCAAATACCAATGCTTGTACTAAATCCCACCTACAAAGAAAAATCACCACTCAAAGGTGCTCGATGCATGCATGCCAGGCACTGGGCTAAGCGCTTTACACATCTCCTCCCATCGGATTCTTTTTCCAAAAGATGAGGCCTCTGAGCTGTAAAAGGCTGAGCAGCCTTCCCAGAGTCTCAAGCAAGAAGGTGGCAGGGGCAGGATGAAATAAATTCCACTGACTCCAGGCCCAGCTGTGACCAGGCCACAAGAACCATCACTGCCTTGGGGAGACTATAGTGGCCCAGACAGAGCACTCCATCTGGGCCCCTACCCTAGGCTCTCCTCCCCAAGGAGGTGCTGAATGGCCACTTTCTGAGGAATCAGCCAGGAGCATCTAAGAGATTCTCTTTAACAGATCATTAGAGCTGCCCACCATTCTCCTACTGTACAGTAGTAACAGTAAACTACCTAACTACGTAATACCCAAATCTTGCGAGGATGCATGTGGAGCCCTACAGTGCCAGCATACAGCAGTGTTCAATGCAGCAGTACTGTCATTACTGTGAAGCCTTGCTTTCCTGCCCTGGCTGTCAAGGAGCTCAGAGAACACCTCCCATGCCAGCATGGGGCAAGACTTCACAGCTGCCAGAAATCCCAGGGGCTTTGCTCACTCCTCCAACCTGACATTAGGTAGCCTTTAAGGTCAAGCCCAACCAGAGCTTTGGAGTACCACCATGACCAACCTGCGGGAGTTCATGTGAGAAGCACAGTTGGTGGCTATGGAGATGACCAAGCTCTGGGGAGCACCCCGAAGCTGGAAGACAGGAAAGACAACAAAGTAGCCCATACCCGCATACTTGGAGGGGCTCACAGGTTTGATCTTCAACGTTGCTCAGATACATCAGGGTGAAAGAAGGGGGATGAGAGTATGGAATTAAGGGAGAACTTGAAAGACCTTACCAAGGGTTAGAAAAGCGGAGATTTAAAAAAAAAAGGAAGGAAAATAGGGGGGGGGAAGATTAAATCATCACTCCATTTTCTTCATATCTGTACAAAAGTATTCACAAGTTATTCCTTTTTCTGTAATCAGGAAACCAGTAGTAACCAATGCCTTAACGATGCCCTGGAAACATCACAGATCAAACTAATATGATACTAAGTATGTGCAGGTAACAGCATCCAGATTATCTGGAAACTACATTCTTCATTCTTGTAGTTTCTATCCAAGGGTCTGGACCTGCTACAAAGTCCAAGCTCACAGAAATGGCCTGGGAGAGGGAAAGAGATGGGGGATTACAGCCAAGTAGACACACCTCTCCAAAAGATCATTCATCACCTTTAAAGGGGCCTTCACAGGTCTCACTGCCCTCCACAGGGGTGAGACCCGTTTCTGGAGGGTTCCGTAAATCCCTATACCTTTTCCATGGGAATGCACTGGCATTCTTGTCTCCTCCACGATTCCCCAGCAATTACCTCGCTTGAACTCCTCCAGGACAGCGTCCAGCTTGGTGTCGTTGAAGACGAAATGGAGTGGATGGTTGTAGAATCGGGTGATGGTGCTGAGCGGCGTGCAGTCTTCAGGGTCCACGAAGGCCAAATCCTTGAGGTAAAGCATGTCCACAATGTTGGAGCGCTCCTCCTCATACACCGGGATGCGTGTGTGGCCGCTCTGCATGATGCTGGCCAGAACGCTGAAGTCCAGCACAGTGCTGGAGTCCAGCATGAAGCAGTCTTCGAGTGGTGTGAGCACGTCCTCCACTGTCCGACAGCGCAACACGCCCTTACTGAGATCGCTGTAGGGGTCGCCGCCGCCGCGAGCCAGCTCCAATACGCGCTCGCGCAGCCGCCCGGGCCGCGCGGCCAACTCCAGCAGCTGACCCACAGGCAGTGCCACCGGCAGGGTGAGAAGCACAGCCAGGCGGCTGAGGCTGAGCGCGCGTGGCGCCAGCGCCAGCGTCCAGCGCCCGCTCACGGCGGCTGGCACCACCTCGCCCACCACAAACACTAGGCCTGCGCTACCCAGCACCGCGGGCACTACAAGCTGCCCGGCTACGCGGTACAGTAGTACAGCCAGCGCCGCCTGCGCTAGGCTAGCCAACAGAAGCAGCGCTCCAAGAGCGCAGCCGGCCCAGCGCCGTGCAGGCTCCAGGCGACGCGCCGCTGCACGCTCCGCCTCCGAGCCGCTCTCGCGCAGCACCTGCACCTCGGCCGGAGCCAATGCCAGTGCGCTTAGCTGAAGGCCCCGCGCCAGCGCCGCCAACGCCAAAAGCCCGGCCGCCCCCAGGCCCAGAGCCCAGGGTGGCGCCGCCTCCTCGGCCGCCACGCCGCCGGGCTCCACGCGCACAGCCAGCAAGGACGAGTGCGGGCGCAAGGCCTCGGCGCGCAGGCGCAGCAGCGCACGCCACTCACCCGCGCCGGCCGTGGGGGCCGTCACCACCTCCGGCGTCGCGGCTGGCCCGCCCTCGGGGCAGCCCGCCTCCCCAAGGACAACCCAGGACCAGGAGCTGTTGGCAAAGCCCGAACCGAAGAGGCGCAAACGGAAGGTGGCCTCCGGCACGGCCCCCACAACCCCTCCACCCGTCCACCCTGCACCCTTGGCTCCGTCCTCCTCTAGGCAGAAGCCCAGCACTTGCGGGCCCGGCGTTACTTCCCCGGCGGCGTTGCCCAAGCAAAACGCGGCGAGAAACCAGCCTAGCCGACCCGCAGCCGCCGCCATCGCCTGCTGCCCCCTCTCGGCCTCTCGCGCAGCCTATCCCGCTCTCCCCACGCCGCCGACTCCCCTAAGCCAATCGCGGCCAGCCTTCGTACCGCCTTCACCAATAGGCGGCCTGCGAGGGCGGGTCCCTGGGTCGAACTAGGCTGCGCTGGGACGTAAACAAGCTGCGGGCTCCAGGCCCTGGGCGGGCTGGGGACATAGGGCTTTTGGCTCAGCGGGGCTCGGCAGCAGTTAAGGCGAGGACGGTACGGCGTCCGGCAGAGGCAGGATGCAGAGCAGTGAACTGTACCGTGGAGAGTGAGCAGGACCTCCGAGTCCGGTTGACTTCGAGCCGCAGCGACTCTGGAAGTCCAGCTCCTCTCACAGGCCGCCTCATTGGGGCTACTGGTTCCCACTGGCCACCCCCGATCTCCTGGAGGCCGGGCTAGTGGTCTGGGAAGTCCTGAGCTCGAGACTTGAGGCGCAGAGTGGCCGCTGGGATGAATCACGGGTCTATGCATGCCCAAGATTGCAGGCAGAGGTTTAAGTATGTAAGAGATGTTTAGTTTTCTTAGAAAAGCGTTCCGTGAACCAAAAAGTTACTTGACCCACGGACCTAAAGAGCTAGTAGGGCTGCAGTAAGAATAGATGACGCACTGAGAAGGCTAAGGTTTATTGAAGCTGTATATCTATCTGCTCCCGACTCTGCTATGTTGTTGTTGTTGTTATGTGCCGTCGTCGAGTCGGCCACGACTCATAGCGACCCCTCCTTGGGTTTCCGAGGCAGTATCACTACGGAAGTAGGATTGCCCAACCTTCCTTCCGAGGAGTGGCTGGTGGGTTTGAACCACCAGCCTTCTGGTTAGCAGTCAAGTGCTTTTGCCACTATGCTACCAGAGCTGACTCTGCTATAGGTTTGAGAAAATCAGACCCGGTCCCTGCCTTCAAGGAATTTACATTCCATCCATGGAGACAAATGGTTAATAAGTAAACACACAAACCACTACCTTATTGGATCCTCACAGCTGCTTCATGTTATTTTACAGGAGAAAAATGAAGCTCACAAAGACGCCGCATGGATGCTGGGGCTGGTAACTCCTAACACAACTCATCTTAAAGAATTCTTCAGGACCAAGATCAATTCAAGAGGATCCTCACTGTCGAGTTATTTTAGAAGACAGTATAGTACACTGACAGTATGGAATGTTCTTTACCCACTATAAATTAGCTTCATGAGATTGGAAATAGAACAAGGCTTTTCTATAGGTCTCTGGAATAAGGGGCTTACATATTTTTCTTTACACTTTTATGTATTTTCATGTTTCCTAATATAAGTAGACTTTTGAGAAGACTATGAAGACATGTCATTTAAAATGTTTTTAAGTATTCTGTAGAAGCACATTTGCTGTATCATGAAAATAACAGAATATTTAAGAAGAATATAGGCACTGTGGCCACAATTACATAAAACATGTTTTGTAGAAGGTAACGTGCCCCCCAAAAAAGGGAGCCCCTGGGCGACACAAACAGTTAAGCACTCAACTACTAGGCAAAAAGTTGGTGGTTGGAACCCACCCAGAGATGTCTTAGAAGACATGCCTCTCACTGCCTTGAAAATCCTAAGGAGCCGTTCTACTCTGCCCAATTGGGGTTGCTATGAATTAGGAATCAACTTGATGGCATCCAACAAGGTGCAAAAATCAGTAAACCCATGGTGTGCTCTTGAGTGACCACAGGAAGAAATTATCTTGTGAAAAAAAGTAATTAACCCTTTAGTGACCCATGGGACATACTGTGTTCACCTACGTTGTCTACCTCTGAGGTTCATTCGAAAGCTATCCCATTTTTAGTGCGTGCTGCCACTTGGTGGGGACCTATATAACTGCATAAATGTGAAGAATTGGGCCTCATCCCACCAACTCTAGCACCAGAGACGCTATGGAACATGCGTCCCAAAAATTGTATCAAAATTCATATTACTTCACAAAAAAATTTTTTTTCCATTTCATTGAAAATGTCTTCCATTACTGAAAACACATGGTTTCAAAACAAAAAATTCAAAGCAGAATATAATTGTCTTGAAGGAGTTAAAAGATGGTAGTAGTGTCTTCTTCTACATCATAGGCTCAGAGCCATGACTAAACCAATTGCATCTCTGTGTTCTTCAACTTTTTTTATCCAGATGGTGACATGCCCTTTTGAATAGTTTGCCTCACTTATGCAGATGACAGACTAAGCTGCTGCTGGAAGAAGCAATGACACTATTGACACTTTCCACTGGATTGTCATGCTTCCTTTAAAGAAAAAAGAAAAGAATCCATTATCATGGATTCAACCCCTTCAGTTGACACTTTGCAATCTCTAAGTCACTGAAGTAGAACCTGAAATGAGTCACATGGTTAAAAAGTCATTAACTAGAAAAGAGCAGTTCTAGAAGAAAGACAGGGAAAACTCCCTCTGGATTTGAGGATAGGGCTCTGACTTTTGACAAGTTATGCCCTCCTTGGTATCAGGCTCCCTTGGAAAATGACCTGTAACTAATTTTTTTGGAAAAACTTTTGCATAGAACAATTGGATCAAACTTGGAAAACTGTCATTTACAGAGTCATTACCCAAAAACACAAAGAATCCAATACAGCACAAAGCTGTTCACCAAGTAACTTTCTGTTTATATAATACTCAAGAGTAGGAAAGGGGACAACACAGTACTTCACCAGCTTGTCCCCTGACTCTGTGCCATTCTTTGCCCCATCATAGCATCAGTGGAAAAATCTGCCACTTGACCTTCAGTATCCTCATTGGCCCTTCCCGGGTGATTTTCCTTACTGGTTATTTGGATCAGGACATTTCTATGTTTTATTTAAGTATTTATTCTTGAGTGTTAAACCCAAACCAATTGTGTGTAACTTCACTGGCTAACTCTTGCTTTATCTCTTAAGCCTTAGCTCTAATCCACTTCCTCCAGGTGACCTCCTCTCCTCTTGACTAGGTAGGGTCAAGGTTAATGGGAGCTATGTGTTCCTCCCCATCCCCAGCATCCAGTACTTAATTTATCATAAGACCTATTCGTTCATTCATTCTTGAGTGTCTGCACTGTACCAGGTACTATTCTAATGGTGGTAATATAAAGTCCCCACCCTCATGGACCTCAAACTCTAGTGCAGGGACAAAAGACAAGACACAAATCTGCATTTTAATATCTATTAAGTGCTATGGAGAAAAACAAGGCAAGCTCAGGAGACACGCAGAGGGACTGGAGAAATGCTATTTTAGATAGGGTAACCAGGGAAGCCTTCTCCAAGGAGGTGACATATGAAGTAAGATGAGCTTCATAAAGACCTGGGGGAAAGTGATCCAGGTGGAAGAAACAGCAAATTGAAAGGCCATTGTGTGACTGTCTCCCTCAGTACATGGTAAACTCACCAAGGAATTGGTGATACATGGTGTGTAGGAGGGTCTTAAAATGTGTGGGAACTGTGAAACAAATAGATTAATGCAATCTACTTTTGCCCACCTTTACACAAGCTTTTTGCATTTGTTACTCTTTTTGTCTGAAATATCCTTTTTCCTTTTTGTCTACTCAAGTGCCTCTCTTTTTAAACATCTTCCCAAATTTATCTTCTCTGCTGAGCCCCTGACCTTGATGCACGCAATCACAAACACCATCCCACAGAACCCGTGTGAACTACAGGACCTGATCTTAAGACCAGGTCATTATGCGAAAATCAGGGTTACACAAAAATGGAGGATGACTACTTCACATAACTGCCAAACCACTGACAATCATGGCCCAGCCACGCTGACACCTCAACCACCACAGCCAACGTTACCCTCGCCTCAAACATGGAGTTCACTGCTGCCAGATGTTATGTTGTTAACATGAAAAATAGTCAGATAGTAGATTTTTTCCTACTATAAATGTGATTTTCAGGATGGTTTTATAGTATAGAGTCCAAGGATGCCAAAAGATGGAAGCCCTGTCAAGCTGGGGATAACTTTCTGAGATGAAGCGCGTCTCAAAGTGAAAATACTTGGCATACATGTCAGGTACCGGGGCTAAGCAGCAACCTGTCACATGTAACTCTGTTAAGAAGCCACCTCACCAAACACAGCCACTTCTGTCTCTGTAACAGATACTACATACTGAGAGAACTCAAAACAGGCAAACTGTAGACTCATCAAAATGTATATATATTTCATTTTTTATTACCAATCAAAAATAAATTCCATATATTGTTTAGCAAATATTATCACTGTTTTGTGACAAAAGACACAAGACTCATAACAACAAAACTCCCCGAGAGTCAAACTCATATAACAATGCAAAAAAAAAAAAAAAAATCACAAAAATATACAAATTAAAATCTTATGCAAAATAAATATGAGTTATTTGCTAAGGTGGCTGTGACTTGCCTACCCATTTGGATGCCATTTGCAGAGGTCTCCCTTCCATGGGAAGATATGTAGGGATGTGCCAGTTCCAGGGTATGGCTCAGCCCAGGAACCAGAGGCTGGAATAGGAAATGAAAATTGCACTGGAGGAAGAAGTCATCGGACCAGTAATATTCAGAAATAATTATGACCCTCTGTAAGAACTGATTCTAAATGGGAAGGGAGGGGGGAAGAAGGGAGATCTGTTGGTAGTAACTGTGTGTGCAAAGAGGTAGCTGTAGGAGTGTGTGTACCTGCTGCTTTTACTTCACACACGCTCATTTAATTCAGGCCATGCATTTTGCTCACCTGGCACTGAGATCTCTCAGGAATACAGCTTTGCAATCTCCTCCTCAGAAAGCAAGCTGCTCCTGTGAAAAACTAAAGCATTTCCCTCAACTGGAACAAAGGTGTCTTTCCCTTATGGCCAAAAATCCATGAGCATCACCACCAGGCTTTTAAGAATAAATTCTGTTGACAGAGGAAACTCTCTCATTGGCCAGAAGCAGCTGTACTTGATACAAGACATTTCCTGGCCCCAAGAATGAGAATTTCCTAGGCACCTAGAGAGCAGAGAACTTGGGGTGACA